TGGGTCTTTGGTGGTCGTGGCTCCAATTACAGTCACACTGGTTATTTCTGAGCTTACACAAAAAGCTAGTCAACCTAACCAATCGTGTATTCTGAATTACGAAATCGGAGCGATATTTAAAAAAAGGTTATTGAAACTTGACTCTATGTACCTTTATGTAGACAAGCATGCACATAATCACACAAAAGGATACATACATCTCTTGAGATAATAATGTTATAGAAACATTAACTCCACACGAAAGCGCTTTAAATGAAGAGACACGTGGGTCGGTCTTACCAAAAGACGTTTGTCTTTACGACGACCTTCTTTTGGATGCACCCAACGAGAAATCCTCCCTCGTTTCAGGTGAATATGGGTTGAGCTTTTGTCCGTCATGTCAGTTGGCGTAGGTCGTCAGAGCTGGAAATCATTCTTGCAAACGCCTCATCTAAACTCTAGACCAAGAAGACTAGCAGGCTCTATCCTACATTTTTCCTTGTACTCAAATTAAAAAGTGAAGACATATAGGCAAAATTAATATATAAATATAATATAAATAATATATAACAATAGATATTTAATTAAATATATACATAAAGAAAAAGGGACAGAATTTCTTATATCTCCTTATATTCTTTATTATTTATGAGTCTTCTAGAGTTAGTGCATAAGTGATATTTTTGCTCAGCCAGTATTCTCTTGAAACGAGGGAGGATTTCTTGTTGACTACATCATCATGAAGGCTGTATTAAATAAAAACGGCTGTGGACCTATGAATGCCACCATTGTCGATTCTCTGTAAGCATAATCAGTCATTCACGACCGCTTTCGTTGGGTGATTTTGGCGCTTTCGGTAGGCCAAGCTTCGTCGGCATAAGGACCGAGGCTAGGCTAAGTTTAATCTTGTTGCTTTTATTTCTAGTTTATTTACTCTCTTCTTCGCCCGCTTGTCCGTCTACAGACAAGCCGACCTCATGCAAGTCTACTCGGACCTCTCGGCGAACCATCAGTCCGTGACGGTTCTGATTAGGTCTCGATCGAAACGGGCCAAAGACATCACCTCCAGACCACTGGTTGGCCAGTCTGCCGCGTTTCAGCAGCCCTGGCAGTCAGCAGACGTCTGCGCCAGTCTGGCATTGGGCAAAACTTCGTCGCCAGGCGTCAAATGGTACAGTCGAGAGGCCGTCTGCACCGGCCGCGAGGCCGCCTTGACGCGAAACCAAGCCATCAATGCAGGCCTGCCCGGCAAGTCGACTCCAGGTCCCGTCAGATTCGTCGAGACCGTCACTCAAGTTGCGTCTCCACCCCTCGCCCTACAGGTGCTCCTGCCAGAGACCAATTTGGGTCCTGCGACCACGACCACAAATGGAGTCGTTTATCAGGTGGCGCAGGGCGAAGACCGTCTGAAAGCAGATCCCCTGGCCGTGAAACCGGAGACCTCTTCGTCATCCGTTGACGACCACAAGATGCTCGTGCCACCGGAGTGGCAGGTGCCCCGACCAGCTAGGCCTTTTAAGGTGGGCAGAGGAGATTCAAGGCCTCAGAGAGCCGGCGAAGTGAGACCACTTACGCAACGTCTTCTAAATAAGATGCCAAAAGAAGCTGGCTTTATAAAAATTCGTTAATAAATTGAGTCTGGCTTAGCCTCGTAGGTTGGCTTCATCAAACACCAAAGAAGATTTGCCTTATACTTGTGACATCTGGCGTTCTGGAAGAAAACTTCTGCCCATCGTCATGCTATCTCGATCCATCCGTGGTGTGATTTCTTCAGTCTGGAACGACTATTTACGCAAAATGTAATAAAAACACCCTTTCTGATAGATGCTTTTGTATGCTGGACGAAAGCTAAACACAGATTCATCGGGATCGCATGACGATCTCTTTCGGAGTCCAGTGAGGCTAATTTACCAGCCCCCTCAAGCAAAGTAACAGGTACGACAGCACATTCGTACAAAAGGCTAGGGTCAAATTGGGTAGCTTCAGGCGAGGATAGGCCTAATGGCTGAGTAAATTAAAGCTAAGGGAATACAAGCTGAAAGCAATCCAATCTTTTACAAAATCTAGTGGACCGATGAGAAGGTCTGTTTGAGGCTTGTATATGTTAATTCGAATGGG